TATTATGTAATTACTTATATAAATTAACCAATAAAGATATGAGCAAGACCTCACCTTAATACCAAAAAAAAAAAAAACCAATATTCTTGATCTTACCTGTCTTTTTTTAATTGTCAAAAGTTATATAAAGCCATTTAATTTGTTGTTAAATTGATATTTTTTAAGTATAAACAATTAAGAAAAATTAATTTTTAAAATAACCTGATATTATGAATTCCGATAATGATTTTATAACTTCAGTTGATGCTTTTGATGAAGTGAAAGATTCTGATGATAATGCAACTTTGTCAAGTACTATGAGTATACAAAATAATTCAGAAACTGATGAATTTATAACTCCACCTAAAAATTTTGGTATTCACTGGATGGGTTTTTTACGTTCAAAGCAAGTTAAAAATACCAAATTATGCCAATATAATGCAAAGTGCTTATATTGTAATAAGATATTTGAAGCATAGAAAGAAGCAATGATACATCATATAATAAATATTTGTCAAAAAATATTAGCTGAAGATAAAATACTTTATATGCAGAATATTAATAAAAAAAATTCTGCAAACATAATTAAATCTTGCCTAAATAAAGATCTTGATATATCTTCAAAAAAACATAAAGCTGTTTTAACAGACTTTTTTAATAAAACTATGATTCTATCAGATAAAATTGATAAGCTTCACACATTATTATTACGATCATTAATCTATAGTAATGTTGCATTTCAATTTGTTGAAAATCCTTTTTTTGCTTTATTTTTAAATAAATTATATTCGAGTTACAATTTACCATCAAGATATACATTAACATATAGAATAATGCAAGCTGAATATGCAAAAGTATTATCTGAAATGATTGATCATCTTGAAGAAGTTAATGATTTGACTCTTTCTTTTGATGAATGGACTGATGTATTAGGAAATTCTATATATGCATTTCTTTTAAACAAATTTGAGAATATTAATGAAGTTATCAACATTGAAGACTTTTTTATTATCTGATATACAGCAAATAATTTGTTAATAGCTATTGAAAGTTCATTGAAAAATACGAACTTAAATTTTAACAAAATTATTGCATTAGTTACGGATAGTCCTTCAGTTATGATACAACTTTGAAAAAATGTTTCAGAAAAATATCAGCATATAGTTGGTATTCGATGTTGTTTACATGTTTTTAATCTTATTGCAAAAGGAATTTTATCATATTAGCAATATAAAAATTTAATTAAAAAAAATTTAATGTTAGTAAATTTTTTTAAAGGTTCAACTTATTGGAATACAAAATTAAAACAATGGGCTACAGATAATAATATTATACATAATTTACAAACATTCTATGAAACTCGATGGTTTTCTTTTTCAAAAGTTTGTCTTTTAGTTCAAAATTATGAAGAAGGCTTTAAAGCTTGTCTCAAATATAATAACAAATTTTCTAATGAATGTCCTGTTATCCTAGTTAACATTAAAGAAATAGTTACAAGCTGACATCATTTTTTAGAAAATGAGCAATTAATAACAATTCTTAGATATATAGTAGATGCAATTGGAAAACTTGAATCACATAATACAACAGTTGGAGACATTTTTGCAGAATTATTTAAAATTTATAAAAAGTTGAAAATAAGTGAATATAACGATATTGAACAAGAATTTATTGAACATACAAAAAATATTATAAATTTTAGAGCAAAGGAGTTTGATGAACTAATATATTATTTAGGCTTTTTTTTTACACCCAAAATTTTGCAAAATAGCTATATCTAAAAAGTTATCTTATAACAATATGTTAATCTATGCTTTAACATTCGCTCAAAAATGGAATTTTACAAAAGAACAAGCAGAACAAATTCCAAATCAATTAAGTAATTATCTTAATAATGAACCACCATATAATTCAACCTTAACATTAGAACCATGATCATATTGGAAAAGTCTTTTATATAGAGCTGAAGCATTAAAAGAATTAGCACTAAAAGCATTTGTGATTTGTCCTCATACTGCTGGAGTCGAACAACTTTTTTCATCTATGGGTCTAACAAAAACTAAATCTAGAAACTGATTAACTGTTCTGACATTAAAAATGATTTCACAGATAAAATCTGCTTTAACAATAGAAATTTCTAATAAAGCTAAAAATAATCCAGTATTAAATAACATTAGTAAAAATACAAATTTTACGGAATTAGAAGATTATGATACATTATTTTCCTTAGTTTCAAATATCGATAATGATATTGAAATGGAAAATAATGAGTTTCAAGAAATTTATACTGAATTTGAAAATTCATCAGATTTATTTTTAGAACAACTTATTAATTTTGATGTTGAAGAGTTAACACTAGAATCGAATGAAAGAGAAAATATAACTAGAAATGAAATTACAAATCAATAGACTTTAGATGAAATTTTAAGCAAAAATAATGTTTAAAAATTTACATATAGTAAGTATATGCATTTTTTTATTATATATGAATTATTAATTAAATCTACGCAATAGTGTATTTTGTCAAGGTGCAAAATTGGAACACTAAACCAATAAGTAGTTAATGCGTTAGTAAATTAAAAAAAAAAAAAACAAAAAAAACAAAAAGAATGTGCTTTCATACTTATCTTTAGATTGAGAAAGGTTTGAAGCAATTGTAATTCATATGTTGGAATCACAAAATAATTATGTAGCACAAGTAGTTAAAACAATGGTTTTGCACAAAATGTCTTTAAATTAATTTAAAACTAATTATGATTTATGATATAATGATATGGCATTAATAAGTATTTATAAGCAAATGAAAGTAATAAGTACTTTTTTTTAATTAATCAAATAAAATAAGTGCACATACCATTAGAGTAATCTAGTATAAGATAGAGCTAGCTTTTACTACTAGTTAACAATAATATAGTAAAAGATAACCTCTTTTAATAAATAAAACTTATATTTAAAGTTAAAATTCATTAAAAATTATATAAATGGTGCACCATATGGCATGCCATGCGCCAAAAAATATTAATGGCATGCCATTAAGAAATTTTTGCGCCAACAACCCTACAAATAATACTATATAACTGATTCTCTTTATAGTTATGTTATTCCTAATCTGGCTACGATATGTTTTAGTGGTTATAAGATGTATTTTGTTGTTTGGGATGAAATATCCCTTTAGAGACATAGGCATTTTAGCATAATTAATACAAAGCCTGTAAAATCTATAATTGATAGTGAACGGAATCCCTATATGTTTCTTCTTCGTGTCAGCTGATTGAGCAATAATAATGCAACTGGTTTATGTATCATCTCTATATAGCAATATCAATTTCCTACACCATGCAAGATAATTTTTATTATGTACCATATTTCGATAATTACAATATAGTAACGGTAATTTTTAGGCACAAAATCATCTAAATAAAATCAAGTTGTTTTTTTTTTTATTTTTTTCAAAATTTTTTAAAAATGGCATCGAATAATTATGATCCATTAAATGATACACTTGATACAATAATAACTGGATTGTTACTTCCTATAATTATAGTTGGTTTGTTTAATGCTTTTGAGCAAGAAAAAAATTAATATTTTTGATGATTTTATTGGTTTTATAATTATTTTAATATATCCCCTTATTACTATTTATCAAACGTTTTCAAATCTTATTGAAAATTTGCAAATTTTGGTAATTGTTATTAATGAATTATAATTTACTTTAATTGTTCATTACTTGCTATTTTACTTCAGTGCAATTAAAAAAACATATCCACTTCTGAAAAAAAAATAATAATAATCTATTCATTAAAAAATGGCCATTCATGACTATTTCTTTAAATTTTTCTTTAACTTTTTCTTCTTATTTTGCTTTCTTGTATTTTTTTTCACTTTTGTTTTCTTTGCTGTTATTTCTTATTTCTATATTATTATCGATTTCTTTATTAATTTCTTTATTATTTCTTTATTATTTCTTTTTACCTTTAAATTTATAAAAACAAGAATTAATTCATTGAATAAAAAAATTTTTACTTTTTCTTTTTTTCTTTATGTTTTTCATTATTAATCGAGTTTATAACTCTTTTTTTGCCTCTTGTTATTATTCTTAATTACAATATTACTTTTATATTTTTTTTTCTCTAAATAGGAAAACATCAACATGTTTATTAAAAAAAATTTAATTAATATAGTTCTTCTTTTACTTGGCTTACTTATAATTTATTCTTATGATATTTTTATCAATAATGAAGCTTATAATGATATTTATAATAGTAGACATGAAGTTTTTTTAGACTTTACGTGGGTATTTGATAATAATAATACCTATGTTGGTGGATTTTGAGCTAAAAAAAATCTTGATATTAATAGATGTCTTGATTTAAAAATAGTAAATCCTAAAGTATACCTTGTTCTTATATGGCCTTCAACTAGTATTAAATATTGTATTACATATTAAGACTTCTTAGCAGTATTATTGGTTATAATTGTTGGGATCAAATTTCTTATTATATTCCTATAAAACTTTTTAATAGAATAGTATTTTTAACAATTTACCCATCAGTCGTATCAGGATATTCACCCAGTATTAGCTAACTTACTACAAAATTAGCTTTCGCAATTTGTGGCACAACTGCTAGAGAATAGTTGAACATTAAGGTGACGAAGAACCTGAAAAGGTTGAAGCTACTATTATTTCTTTTTATCTAAATTGGCACGGTCATATGGAACAAAAAAGATAATAGAAAAAATAAAAAAGAAGGTAGAAAATCAAATAAAAGAAATCAAGTCTATCAGATCGAATAGATGAAGAAGCAAGCGAATGATATAAAAAAAGCATTGAAGAATCAGAAAGAAAGATCGGAAAATATAATAAAAAATTACAAACAAGACAAAGTAGAAAATGAAATAGAAGAAACATTGAATCATCAAATAACACGATTAGATAAGTTAACTGATGAGTTCGGAGAAGTTAAAACTAAGTTAAAACGTGAAATAAGCGAAATAGTAAAAGAATTTAAGAAACTCTGATGAAAGAGAAAAATGAGGATGAGTTTGGAAATGAATAAATCATATTTTGCATAGATAAAAATTGGTATTTTTTTTTTTAGCATAATATAAGGGTTCCAAAAATTAACAAAAATTTGCGCATTTTGGGTCTTTTTTTTTGAAATAATCTATTTGTAACAACCTGTTACATAACAACCTGTTAATGTTAGGGTTAGGATTAGTGTTAGGTTTAGGGTTAGTGTTAGGGTTAGAGTTAGTTTAGATTTAAAATTAATGTCAAGATTAATACAAAATTGCGAGAGGGTCATTTTTCATTAGCAGCACAAAAGAGATTATCTTAGTAAAATTTTGTGTTATAGAGAATTTAAGTATAGGTTGTTATGTAACACGTTGTTACAAATAGACTTATCCTTTTTTTTTATTAATATTTAATAAATCGGAAAAATAAGATTTTCTAATTTTAATTTTGAACCCAATATTTTAAAATCATCTGTCTGTCTGTTTTTCATATTTATCACTAATTGCATTACAATATATTTTTCATATTTACAGTGATATGGCTCTTTTATGTTTATGAGATTAATGTCATGTAAACAATATGAAGATTCGCGTTATATTTATATAGGTCAACATCTTTATTATTTCCTATAACTGGTAGCTGCATATGCGGCAGCCTTACGTCCAATTTCACGTAACAATTAGATATAGAAAGTAGTGTACTAGCACGTAATAATATTGTTGATAATACAATAATGTTTTTACTTGATTACTAGCAAAAAACGATGTTTAATAGGATGGTGCAATAACTATTATTCTTTTAAATTTTAGATTTGTTCTTATATGCTCTAATAAATTTATTTAATTAAAAGTTTTATATGAACCTTTGAAATACTAAAAATGTTTCATTTAAGCATTTTTAAATACGCCTACTAGCAATTTATTTTAATAGATAACATTACTTTATTTCATTAGATAAAAAAAGATAATATAATCATAGGAATTTAGATAAAGTAGCCACAGGTGCAAAAATCCTTATCGGTACTAATGAACTCCAAAAAGGAGACAAATATTAGGTGAAAATATTCAAAATTAGCTAATGAACTTATACCTATAAATTAAATAAGAACTCGCAAAAAGCAAATAATTGAAGTGTGATTTGAGATTGCTTATGTACACTCATGGCATGTCTATCAGAATAATAATTGCAGAATAATGTGCATTCTGCACGTACTGAAAAATGCTCGATATTACAAATTCTCGAAACTTTAAATATCTATAAATCCGTATATTTTTACTGTCTGAAGTTTAGAATTTCTCTCGCAGTGAAAACTTTTTGTAAAGTGAAACAATAATAAAAATTAGACAAAATTGACATTTTACTGCTTTAGCTCCTTTGGTCTGAAATCCTCCCACTTATCATTGATTAGTTTTTTAACTTATAATAATTAGATTATATATATAAATCTTGATAATTTTTTATTTATTCGGAAACGGTTTTAAAATTGATCTAGCACGCATTTGTCATTTGGGCCACTTAGTGCAATTCAGGAACGATGAATACTCTCGTAAAAAAGTTCCACTTTATTTTGGTATATTCAATAAATTTTAAGTATCCAATCGTAATTCAATTTTAGAATTATTTCAGATTTGATTGGTTGTAATAATTCCATATTATTCTTAATGGAAGTATTTACTGTCCCTTATACATTTACATTGTCTGGTTTATTTTGTAATAACTTATTTAAATCTACAAGTGATTCTTAATGTCTGTCCGTAGAATAAAGTGCTTCCATATCTGTTTAATGCCTAAGTATTATTTGGTTCAATTTCTAATGATTTGCATCTATGTAATTGATTCTAAAACTGTTTGATTAGGTGAATAATTCTCTATTATATATTAGACACCTTTAAAGAGGGATGACATCCACTTCCTAAACATATAGAATTAGCGTTGAATAAATTTAAGAGTCGGTGAAGTAGCTATCTGTTAAATGGCAGATTCTTATATTAATTAAAATCAATCATGAGCCAAATGAGTTTACGCCTCCAAAAATTTTAAGAATAGATTTGCATTCAATTCCGTAATAGGTAATGCATTATAATGCGGTGTTACTAAGTATATATTATAGAATAATATATCTGGCTATATATTGCTAAGGAAATAGCGCTTTAACATTTATTTTTACATGATAATATGCTCCGCTCACTTCATAGATAATCACTTCGTAGACGTCTCATTTAACTGATAATTAGGTCACTATATCAAGAGCTTAGTGTATAAATCAGTTATGGTTTTTTTCTTTATCATAAATAAAATTTTTAGATAATACTGTGTTTTACAAAACTAATAAGCTACATAAGAGTGATAAGTTACTAATAAGTCGCTTTTAAATTTAATAATCAAATGCATAATATATTAGTAATAATTATATCCTGGTAGTTGGGTATAAGTTGGGATTAAATTTCCGCTTATACATAGTACTCAGGGTTGTATAAGTACATATCTGTCTGGCACTTTTCAATGTCCATATGACTATTGGATAATGTCAAACAATCATGGTATGTGATAGTCAAGTTGAATATTTAAGTAAATAGGGATACTTTCTTATTTTTTATTATGATATTAGTTAAGTACTGTATTGCTATTAAGTTGTTTTTTTTTACATGTTTCAAATTTTTGATAACATTTATTAAGTCACTTAGAATCGATAAAAGCTATTCGAGCATTGATTAAGTCTTTATTTTTGATCTATCTTAGCAATTATTAGCAAAACACAGCAAGGGTCCTGCTTAATAAGTTTCAATAATAACACCATTTTTTAAATTATTGACATTTGTCTAAACATTATGAGATTAACTAAAATATGTCATAATATTTGTTCACTATTTCGATTATCTAGGTGAAAGTTCTTTACTTGGCTCAAATAATTGAGGTTATAAGTTTTTAATATACATTTTTTCTATACGTTTGATCGCAAATACATTATTTGGTTCAATTTCTAATGACTTTGTTAAATCTACAAGTGATTCTTCATTTTTTCCACAAATACGATAAATTTCGCCTCTATTTCTTAATGCCCATGCGTTATTTGGTTCAATCCTTAGTGATAAGGATAAATCATTAATTGCTTCATCATATTTTCCCATCTTGAGATAAGTTCCCCCTCGACTTCTCAAAGCAAAAGCGTTATTTTGTCTAATTTTTAATGATTTATTTAAATCTAAAAGAGCTTTTTCATTATTGTTTAACATACGATAAGTTTCTCCTCGATTATCCAGAGCATATGAATTATTTGGATCAATTTCTAATGAATTAGTCAAATCTCTAAGTGCTTCATTATATTTTCCTAACTTACGATAAATTCCTCCCCGACCTCTTAATGAAAATACATTATTTGGTTCAACTTCTAATGATTTAGTAAAATCCAAAAGTGCTTCTTTATGTTTATCCATATCATGATAGGTTGCACCTCGACTCCTCAATGCAAATGCATTATCTGGTTCAATTTCTAATGATCTAGTTAAATCTGCAAGTGCTTCCTTATACTTGCCCATTTTGCGATAAGTTTCTCCACGATTTTTTAATGCAAATGTATCATTTGGTTTAAATTTTAATGATTTATTTAAATCGACAAGTGCTTCTTCACATCTATCTATCATGAGATGTGTTGCACCGCGATATTTTAATGCAAATGCATCATCTGGTTCGATTTCAATAGTCTATTTAAACATTCAAGTGCTTCATGATATTTTCATAAATTAAAATAGTTTTCACCATATTTTCTTAATTCATCTAATTCAAGTGTATCTTTTCGCAAAGGAAGTGGTTCAGATTTAATATTTCGAGGTGGTAATATATTAGAAGTAATAGGGCGACCGGTACATAAAATTTTGAGTCAATATCTTTCCACAAAGCTTGATCAAGAATTTTATAATAGGGTCGAATTTTCTCAAAAACTTCTTTTCCAGGAATATGAAAATAACAAATTAGAGGAAGACAATTTTTAAGCGTATTTTTCAGTAATAAAAAATTTTCGTCAGACCATTGTTCAGGATTAGAATTAGATGTAAAGGTTGGATTTTGAGCGATTCCCCATCTAATAATATGATCCCAAATTTTTATTTCATCCAGTTGTAAATTATCGAGCTTTAAGACAAAAATTAAGATATTTTCCGTAAGCGTAGTGAATTCTCCCGCATCAAAAATAATATTTGGGTATTTACAAATAATGTTAGCACAAATTGTTGTAAAGGTTTGAAATTATCATCCATTAAACTGATTTAAAAACACGAGTAAAATTTAAACGTAACCAAGAAGCTTTATCGTCAATTAAGATTTGTTGCGTAATTTTAACCAATTCTTCAAGACCAAATTCATTGGAAGCAGTTAAAATATCGAAAATTACAGAATTTTCTGTATTTTCTAATGAAATGATGCCACTATAGATGTACCTATAAAGTATTTAATTAGTTAGAATCTTTAAATTTTAAATTACGGTATGCTTATTGTTGCTTACTTGATGATAATATCAAATGCTTTAGCAGAGATATCAGCTTTTTTAATTGACTTTATGTTTCCTTTACCATAAGCAATTTGGCTTAGTTTATTTTTAAAATAAGAACACCGAGAGTTTAATATAATGGAATGTGCTTTAAATATTTGTGTATTCGGCATTTGACCAACTTCAATATTAACATTTACTCATCACTATCATTAAGAAGGTCACTTAAATTGTTGGAAAGTTTTTCAAGAAATTTAATAGTCATTTTAAAATTAAGTTTAACTTTATGTGAATTACACGGACTTGATAAACCAATTTGAACATTATTCTTTCCTAAATATAGATTTTGTTATGCATATACGCACAATAGTTACACAAGGCAATAGATGATCTTTGCGCAACGTTTTTCCGATTAATGGAAAATAAGTAGAATAATCGTTAACCCTTTGCGCTTCACAATCGATAATTGGTTCTAAAACGTTTAATCTCATGCTCTCCCAGATAAAATATTGTTGTGCTATGTACGTACGTACATAACTGCGATCGAAAAGAACACCTTTATTGTGTATATACGTTAATGTTTCGGGCGAAATTGTTTTTTGATTCCGTAATATTTCGGATTTAACACAGTGCTCCGAAATAAAAATTCCAAATTCCGAATTTAGAATGAAAATCCAATATAAATCCGATAAGATCCTATATTTCTGATATTTCCGATATAAATCTGATAATAAATGTGGCGATTTTTAAAAGTTTTTGGGGCCTTTTTTGCTAGTTTTTTTTATAGTTAAGTTAGGGTTTTTTTATAGTTAAGTTAGGGTTTAGGGTTAGAATTATTAAGAAAAGAGTATAGGTCATAGGACGACATTCGTATAATTGGCTAATTTAAATCAAATCTTAAAATTTACAAATAAACTTTTATTATCATTAGCGAAGCTTTACATTTAATTTTATAATTTTATTTTAGTCATCACAAACTCTACCAGAGATGTGCTATGACCCTTAATTTATATAATTAATGAGCACAATACAACTCGCGTACATTGTATTGATCTGCTACCAAAGTAACCCAAACACGATTACAACTGCCTACCCAATGTTTTTGAAAAGCCTGTCAACAAAGTGACAGGGAGATCATTATTGCGAGATCAGATGACTTTATGACCAGTCACGTTCCAGGTTTTTTATGTATCCTTTATGGTAGTTCTTTGATTATTGTTGTATATTTTTTGTAGCTCGTATTAACAGGTAATTTTGGATTAACATATGATTATGAGTAATTAGATTGGTGGCAGTAGTAAGAGATAATAGCTATAGCCAAGAACGAATTAGCGATACAGGAGAATAAGACAAGAAGTATTTAAAGTTAATTGTCTTGGTAAAGAGGGTTATCTTTCTTTTCACTATTGCTCGCCTTGTGAAGACTGGCTCTATTTCCCTCCCTTACTTGCCCGAATTCAAGCAAATAGTGTTTGCTTTGTTATGTCAGGCTTCATGGCTATGCTAGTAGTGTAAGGACCTGTTGTTTGGCTCCATGGCTGCAGTAGCAATACAAGGATCTATTTTGTATTTGGGCCTCATGGCTGCAAATAGTAGTGCAAGGACCATAATAAGAACAATCCCTCGCTTATTGACATGAGTATATGTATATACTGATTCTCTTTGCGGCTATAAGAATGGTTGATGTTTTCTCTCTACATGAAAGGCATTTTGATATATGAATTGTTGTGAGCCATTCCTTTGTTTGTAGGATATGCAAAGTATTATTGGTGTCCATTTCACCTACTGTTAAAGGCATTTTGATATATGAATTGTTGTGGGCCATTCCTTTGTTTGTGGGATATGCGAAGTATTATTGGTATCCATTTCACCTACTGTTAATAATTGATATCTTTGTATTTGTGGTATTGATTATGTATATTAGAGCCGCCGAAGGTAGCGAGCCCTTTATCTCATATGTTTTTCAGCTTTGATAAATAAAGTTATTCATTTTGTTAAATAAAGTCATCTGACCGAGCAATAATAAAGCTCTATAATATCAATTAATACGCAAGATATATAGTAAGTATTAAGTATATAATATTATTAAAGTAATACATAGACAAGATTTCTATGCTGTTTTTCAAGATTAAAACTTATACATAAACATCTCAATCAGCCTCTTTAATTGACCATTTTCGACATATAAATCTTATATATAGTTAGTATAATAATAAATAGCAGAACACTTGCCTCTAAGTGAAGTTCTTGAGAATGTTGATTATTTTTTGATTATTTTCCACAATAAAAATAAGTGTTCTTTTGAAGCTAGAAATAGTCTTTATGGTGATTTTTTATTAGTGAAACATTACATCTGTATAAATAAGTTACCCGGGCAATTGATTCATCAGCCAATCATATAAATGTCGGCCTGTTATAAGCTTTTAAATATGTACGCAATATCGGATTGAGCCTAAACTATGGGCAATTACGGATTTTATCGTACATTTCCGGAAGTATCGGAAATTTCGGAAATTTGTATAATCGGCGAAATTAATATCGTCCCTATTTCGGATTCGGATTTGGCGAAATATTTGGTTTCGCCCGAAACATTATCTTGTACACGTGACCAGTTATTCGAAATTTCACTTTGATATTACCGGGTGTTCCAAAAGTTCCTATACGAACCCTTTTTTTAAATGACCTTATATATAGAGATCACGATATTTTGCATAAAATAATAATCATGATCTCAACAAAAAAGGACATGATAGGAGCTTATGGTATGAGTGCTGCAAAGAGAAAACCTGTAACTCTTCATCTAATTTTCGCTTTGCGGCATTCATATGATATATCTATAATATTGTGGTTTTAGGAATGTGAACAATTATAAAAAAACAGGAGTACAGTCGTCGTAGCTGGACTCCAGTCCCCTTTACGCAGTAAGATTTCCTTTTAGGATAACAAAGGGGTGGCGCCGGTGTCTGAAATTAAATTGATTCGTTATCAATCACCGGGAGTTTTGTCAAATATCATTAATTATGACGTGATTTTAGCTAACATTTAGTACGAATAGTGACATTTATTTGAGATTGTTCTCAATGCTACGATAAAGACCTCAACCAATACTTAAGAGCTTTCTGTGCTTATTAAATGTTATCGCAAATTTGCAGATACAAAAAGATAATGGGAAGTATCAACACGCTTATTTAATTATTTAAGAGTAATCATATAATGTCCACCAATGAATTATTGTTCATAACAGATAAATAAAATAAAAAATTAATAAAAGAAATATGTTAGTGTTTGTAAAGAAAGTCTAGCATATAAAGTACTAGACTGCTTGAGCAAGAACTCTATTAGTTTTGATAAGCCAGTGCAAACAAATAAGGTTTGAAGCAACAAGATTGTTAACCGGAATGACAACTCGCTTGATATCTTTCACCAATTAAAATTTTCTTTAACGTGTCGAAAATGGTCAATTAAAGAGGCTGATTGAGACGTTTATGTGTAAGTTTTAATCTTGAAAAACAGCATAGAAATCTTGTCCGTGTGTTACTTTAATAATATTATATGCTTAATACTTACTATATATCTTGCGTATTAATTGATATTATAGAGCTTTATTATTGCTTGGTCAGATGACTTTATTTAACAAAATGAATAACTTTATTTATCAAAGCTGAAAAACATATGGGATAAAGGGCTCGCTACCTTCGGCGGCTCTAATATACATAATCAATACCACAAATACAGAGGCATCAATTATTAACAGTAGGTGAAATGGATACCAATAATACTTCGCATATCCCACAAACAAAGGAACGGCCCACAACAATTCATATATCAAAATGCCTTTAACAGTAGGTGAAATGGACACCAATAATACTTCACATATCCCACAAACAAAGGGACGGCTCACAACAATTCATATATCAAAATGCCTTTCATGTAGAGAGAAAATGTCAACCATTCTTATAGCCACAAAGAGAATCAGTATATACATATACTCATGTCAATAAGCGAGGGATTGTTCTTATTATGGTCCTTGCACTGCTATTTGCAGCCATGAAGCCCAAATACAAAATAGATCCTTGTATTGCTACTGCAGCCATGGAGCCAAACAACGGGTCCTTGCACTGCTAGCACAGCCATGAAGCCTGACATAACAAAGCAAACACTATTTGCTTGAATTCGGGCAAGTAAGGGAGGGAAATAGAGCCAGCCTTCACAAGGCGAGCAATAGTGAAAAGAAAGATAACCCTCTTTACCAAGACAATTGACCTTAAATACTTGTCTTATTCTCCTGTATCGCTAATTCGTTCTTGGCTATAGCCATTATCCCTTACTACTGCCACCAATCTAATTACTCATAATCATATGTTAATCCAAAATTACCTGTTAATACAAGCTACAAAAAATATACAACAATAATCAAAGAACTACCATAAAGGATACATAAAAAACCTGGAACGTGACTGGTCATAAAGTCATCTGATCTCGCAATAATGATCTCCCTGTCACTTTGTTGACAGGCTTTTCAAAAACATTGGGTAGGCAGTTGTAATCGTGTTTGGGTTACTTTGGTAGCAGATCAATACAATGTACGCGAGTTGTATTGTGCTCATTAATTATATAAATTAAGGGTCATAGCACATCTCTGGTAGAGTTTGTGATGACTAAAATAAAATTATAAAATTAAATGTAAAGCTTCGCTAATGATAATAAAAGTTTATTTGTAAATTTTAAGATTTGATTTAAATTAGCCAATCATACGAATGTCGTCCTATGACCTATACTCTTTTCTTAATAATTCTAACCCTAAACCCTAACTTAACTATAAAAAAAACCTAGCAAAAAAGGCCCCAAAAACTTTTAAAAATCGCCACATTTATTATCGGATTTATATCGGAAATATCGGAAATATAGGATCTTATGTTAAATCCGAAATATTACGGAATCAAAAAACAATTTCGCCCGAAACATTAGTACAAGACGATACAAGAAAAGACTTTACTGCTTTAAGGACGACAATTTCACATGGTTTGATGAAAATATTTTCGATTCTTATTAATAAGCCTCTTCGGTACTAGTTACTTTATGTACAAGTAATGATGCCTGACGAACTATTTTTGCAATTATGAAATAGTCACTGACAAACTTCGATGATTGACGAAGTTTCTGACGATGGACGAATCAGTTGGAAAATATAACTAACCTTCTTTCTACGAAATTTATGACGACCTTTGGGATATGCAGAGTCTTGGTTTTTTTTTAAATTTTCAAAATTATTGTTAGTTCGAGATTACGGGACTGACAAATTTTTGTGGTACGACTATGGTACTCTTTCAAATGCACCTACTATTATAATCATCGCAATGACAATAAGAAATCAAATAAGAAATGAATAACGGTTTAAATCCCAGATTACTATATCTTCATATTGATAAACTATCGATAAACTTAGATCAGTATGGATAACCAGAATTGTGTGGATGGGGTTATTTCATTATAAAGTTTCATGGTCCACATGAAGCATAGTAATTTTTAATTAATAACGAACTTTTTCTCCAATCGCTACTTCTCTATAAAACATGTTGATTTTATTATGTTCAATAGTGCCACAGTATTTACAATAAATTACTATGCTAAGCCAGATAATACATATCAGTCAGTTAACTTTTTAGTTATAAATCATATATAGAATGAATTTCTAGGTATGTAATTTACATACAGTACGTACAAATTTCAATGCTTAGGTGTCAAACCGATAAACTAATCAAGTTATATGGGTTATTCAGATTCATACATAAAGAATCCATTAATCATATTCATAAAATCTTTTTTGTATTGACGCAAATCATAACCTAAACCCCACCACAAGATCGACTAACATCTCTTAATCCAAGACCATTATTACGTTTTTTCCATTCAATGCGTAGAGCATCGATATCGCGGGAATTTGCGAGATCAAAACTGTCATCCGCTACAGTATTAAAACGGTTCTTGGATAAAGCATAAGCTGTGCCGCCTAATATTGGTATTGAAAGTCTAAATTGATGAAACCGTTAGAAATGTTTGTTTTTTCAAAATTTTTTTCAAAAGTAGAAAAGAATGTAAAACCAGATAGTTACAATAAAGCAAAGTTCTTTGGTGTGAAACGCAAACTAAGTTTTTGTCCGATCATTGTTTTTATAAGGTTGCGAATAAAAAAAAAAATTCAAGTTTGAGTTTGAGAAAGTCAATTATATAGTCACAGAGAGTGTCGATTTATTGCGTGAGAAATGAGATAAAAATGGGGAGGAGTAAATTTTCGAATATTTATATATAATTGTACAATTAAATACGCCTTTTTTGGAAATGCCTGATGACTAAAAACAAAAGTGTTCACACGATCACATTTTCTTTTGTCTTTGGTGCGTGATTCACGGAGTGCGGATCATTACGTATCACGAACCGCTTTAAAAAGGATTACGCATGTATATTGTGCTTGCGTAACTTAAACGATAATCGTTAGTTTTGAATAACAGCCACGTAAACCGTTGAATCACAAAATATAAGAATTTATCTTTTTTTGGCATTCTTCAAAAAAAACCAGTTAAATGCTAGTTAGTTCGATTTTTTTTTCCCAAGCCCGTACTATGTATAACGTAAAGATAAGGCATGTAGGCTGGAGTCTTAATTCATATGTTCTTTAAAGAGTGTCGATATATTTTAATAAAACCAACTTTTAATTTATTTATTAACCTCCTTGTAAATTCATTTTACCTTAATAATTGTAATCTCTTAAAAATGACCCGCACCAACCCTTAAATACTGTAATAAGCTTAAAAATACGAACAAGCAAATACCTGAAGGCATCTTGTTAATGGAATATATATATATACGTAAACAAGTTTCTAATTTAAAATTTGTGACAATGTAGTTTATGAATTGCAAGACATGAATGTCGGGGCTTCCTCCATATTTACTTAATAGGCTAAATTCAGATTTGACAATTTTAACCAATGAAGCTAGTGATGGATCTGATGGATACTTATCCATCAGGCTTTTTCTCAATGAATAGCCAAATTGCCAACCCTGGCTAAATTGGTACATTTGGGAGTCAGATGGTGAAGGCATTTTTTTTCTAGCTTTCCTGAAAATTATTTGCTGTTTTAGGCATCTTCCCCAGATGTGATCGAAATAGTACATGATTAATGGCGCTTGCTAATGATGAAACTTTCATCATTGATGAATTACGAAATTTATGCCGATTGATAAAGCATAAAACTACTCTTTTCTTTCAAAAGGAAGTAAGTTAGTCTATGTGAAGTTAGTTCTTTTTGATTGTGTCATCGTATCTGCACAATTTTTTTTTTTTATAAAAGATGTGGAAACGATTTCCATACACCCATGTGGGGAATCGAAGAGTGTGGAAATTCCGAGTAAAAATTAAAACCCTGATTAGAACGGGTCTTGAAAACTCTGGGAATTTGGGAAATATCGTGAATTCTCCACGGTATAGTGATCTGCATCTTTCCACAAATTTTTTACAGCCGTTTTCAAAAATTTGTGGAAAGATGCAGATCACTATACCATGGAGAATTCACGATATTTCCCAGATTTCCAGTTTTCAAGACCCGCTCTAATCGGATTTTTAATTTTTACTAAGCAGAATTTCTACATTCTTAGATTCCCCACATGG